AAAAGGTCTCCAGCAGCCGTGTGATATGGCTTGCCTCAACGTGTACTGCAACTCTGTGATGTGAGGGCTATTACAAGTACTGAAACAAAAACAGATCAGGAAATTTAAGTCAAGAGCTTTAGCCTCAAAGTTAACGGGTGGTGCTGGGACATGAATTTAGATTTGTTCTTATTTTAAAAGCTCTTTTCGGAGTGCCCTGGGGCTGAGTTGGTTAAGTGACCGGCTTCAGCTCAGGTCGTGATCTCACAGCTTGTGAGTTCGAGCCCCGCATCGGGCTCTCTGAGGTCAGCTCAGAGCCTGGAGCCTGCTTCAGATTCTGTGTCTCCCTCTCTCTCTGCCCCTCCCCCGCCTCCCTCCCTCCTTCTCTCCCTCTCTCTCTCTCTCAAAAATAAATAAACTTAAAAAAAAATAAAGGGGTGCCTGGGTGGCTCAGTCACTTAAGCGTCCGACTTCAGCTCAGGTCACGATCTCACGGTCTATGAGTTCGAGCCCCGCGTCGGGCTCTGTGCTGACAGCTCAGAGCCTGGAGCCTTCTTCGGATTCGGGGTCTCCCTCTGTCTCTGTCCCTCCCCCACGCATTCTCTGTCTCTCAAAATATGAACAAAAGTTTAAAATTTTTTTTTAAATTAAAATTTTTTTTAATTAAAAAATTTAAAAAAAAAGAAAAAAACCCAAAAACCAAAAATCCTTACTGAGGGGCACCTGGGTGGCTCAGTCAGTTAAGGCATCGGACTCTTGATTTCAGCTCAGGTCATGATCTCACGGTTCACGGGTTCAAGCCCCATGTTGGGCTCTGTGCTGATACCCTGGAGCCTGGTTGGAATTCTCTCTCTCTCCCGCTCTCAAAAACCAAAATTAATTAGTTAAACTCAAAAAAAGCTCTTTTCAAGTGTATGCAGGTCCAATTACATAGTTTATACTTTCCCTGTTGAGCAGGATCACAGCACGTGGGTTTACTAATCACTATTCCAAAGTCACCCTTAGCTGTTCATCTGTCTGCACACAGTCTCGAGAGGACAGGGATGATTGACAGCCATCACATGAAGCCAGCTGCGATGGTCCCCATGTCAACCTGCTCTTCCAATGCCTTCTGGTTCACGAGCATCCCGGATGAGAGCTTGGAGGGTTGTCAGAGTGTAAGTGTGGACGAGGTCCTAGCTGCACTGCTGTTTCAGGTAGGCATGAGCCTAGACTAGCCTTCCGCTAACTTTGAGTACCTGGAAAAATCCATTTTAAAAATGAAAATCCTTTCCCCATTATCTGTAACCACAGCTGAAGTTGTTCCTTCTCCTGCTGATTATGACACATCAGACACATCGGAGCACCCAACTGGAGCTGGGGGGCTGCTCCCTAAGTGTCGTGTCCTTCGTCGATGTCAGAGGGGATGCCCTTTGTTGAGGGAAGGGGAAGTCACAATTTTTTTTTGTTTTGTTTTTTAGAAAATGGAAGCCAATTCTGAAGAGACTGCTGCAAATATTTTATACTGAGGACCATCCAAAGGAGATTAGGCAGTTTTGCTTCCTTGGATAGCATTAAAAAAAAAAAACAAAAACTTTTTTTTTTAAGTTTATTAATTTATTTTGAGGGTGGGTAGGGGCAGAGAGAGAGGGAGACAGAGAATCCCAAGCAGGCCCCACGTGGTCAGTGCAGAACCTGACTCGGGGCTCAAACCCACAAACGGTAAGATCATGACCAGAGCCGAAATCAAGAGTTGGACACTCAACCGACTAAGCCCCACACATGCCCTGGAGAGTATTTTTTAACTCAGAGCTCCACAGCTGCCAACAAGGCAGGATTAATGCTCCACGGGTGACACATTTTGCAACTTACTGTTTCCCAGGCACTAAAATAATAAAAAAAAGCACCACTCTGGTTTTCTTTTAATCTCTCACATTTCCTCCAAAGAAAACTCAGGAGAAAAAATATACAATACTTGCAGCCTAATTCACGAGAACTAATGTCTTTCTCTTAAGAGTTCTCCTGACACGGGAATCACTGGGTTGTACCTGTTTTGAAATTTTCTGAGACCACGATGTTCCAGAAAGGCCTCAGTAGTTCTGCGTACTGACCTTTACCATCCGTATCCGCAAAAGGTGCTCAGACCTTCTCGGTGGCTCAGGGGGTTATTAAAGACGCAGGTGCCCAGCCTCTCCAGTGGCTCTTATTCTCAGCTCCCCATCACAACCACCTGGGGAACCTTCAAAAGTCCCAAAGCCCAGGCCACACCCCCAGAATGATTAAACCAGACTCTCTAGTGTATGAGGGGTAAGAGTGCGTGAAAAGTCCCCACCGGGTGACTGCCGGGTGCAGTGTCAGAGGGGACCTCCCTCGGTCCCCTAAACTGCAGGGGGTCCCGTATGACACACGGGCTCTGCACTGTCAGGGGACTCTCTCAAAAGAAGCCACTGCGGGCAGAGGTGTCATCAGATTCATTTTTCCGTCATTAACACAGCGCTAGACTCATACCCGCACTCTTCATAAGCAGCTACTGGATGTGTAAATGAGTGGAGTAAATGGGTAAGTCGAACTCAGCTAACAATTAGCTTTGTCCAAGATCAATTGTTCATCACAAAAATGAGTCCCGCTTAGTTAACAGGATAGTTAAGATCCAGTGAATTAATGTATGGCGGGGGAGGGGGGGCACCTAACACAACGACAGATTTTCATTTCTATCTTTCCGGTAGCACTTGTGGACTAAGACACTGACACCAGGGTAATTAATCCCAGTATGGTCTTTTGGGCTAAAAAGGCTACAGTAACCAGCAATGCCTCCTGCAGAAGGTCCAAAATTCGGTGGGGGAGGGAGGGAAGAGGGGGAAGGGAATTGAGGTCCTGACTCAGGACGAAGCAGCACCAAAAACTTCAGATGAACACGAGCTGGGGTCCCTAGACAGGCTTCCCCACGTTTGGGCAAATCCCACAAGAGTTTTGCCCACAAACCAATGAATGGCTTAGGTAGGTAGAAAACTGAGACAAGGATTTGGGGGGATCATGATGACGACCAACAGAAAACAAGGTTGTGTTCATCAGGGGCTTTATTTTATTTTTTTAATTTTTTTTTTCAACGTTTATTTATTTTTGGGACAGAGAGAGACAGAGCATGAATGGGGGAGGGGCAGAGAGAGAGGGAGACACAGAATCGGAAACAGGCTCCAGGCTCTGAGCCATCAGCCCAGAGCCCGACGCGGGGCTCGAACCCACGGACCGCGAGATCGTGACCTGGCTGAAGTCGGACGCTTAACCGACTGCGCCACCCAGGCGCCCCTCAGGGGCTTTATCAAGGAGACTCGGGGAAGGGTGCTGTGGATTCAGAGGGACAGGACAATAAAAGGAATACGGGGCCTTGCCAGCTCATTGCACACTCATCAGCCCCTGTCTCATGCCAAGACTCATTCCTGAGCCGGGAGGGTGACGGTTAAGTCACAAAACAAAGGAAAGGAAAACAGCCTTGCAACCTTCTGCTGGTGGCCAAATTTATGTATCAACTTGACCGTGTTAGGAGGTGCCCAGATATCTGGCCAAACACTATGCTGGATGTTTCTGTGCAGGTGTCTCTGGATGACGTTAACATTGGAATCAATAAACTGAGTAAATCAGATTGCCCTAATGTGGGTGGGCCTCATCCAATCAGCTGAAGGCCTGAATAGAACAAAAATGGTGATCCTCCCACGAATACGAGGGGACTCCCCATGCCTGACCGCTTCAAGCTGGGACACTGGTCTTTTCCAGCCTTTGGACTTGAAGGGAAACATCAGCTCTTCCTGGGGCTCCAGCCTGCAAACCTTTGGCCTGGCAGTTCTGCCACGTTCTCACATTTTCCGCCTCAGACTGGAACGACACAGCTGGCCAGCTCACCAGCCGATCAGATCTTAGGCCTCTGCGATGACGAGGCAATTCCTTACACTACATCTCTCTACGGACCCACCTCCTACTAGTGCTATTTCTCTGGAGATCCCTGACTGATGCATGAACACACCAGACACCTGCATACCTACAGATGACCTCGGTAAGTCCCGTGACCATCAGGATAGAGGATTATCTTTGTTCTACCGCCAGCTGGAGTAATTTTTAAATATAAGAAGTGAAAATCACACTGAGGACCCACGTACCCACTCTCCCACCCTCCGCCCAAGTGAGAGAGAACAGTAAAAGATGACATTAAGCCACAAGACCACCATGCCTGTGCATAAGGACAGGAAAGAGCTCAAAACAATGCTACTGCATTATGTACATGCAAGTGTGATGTGTATCACACAGGGGCTCCATGCTCTCGGATGGGCAAAAGTTGGAACGCCTACAGGTGTCCTGTCTTATGCACATTCCGAGCCCTCTGTAGTGGGAGGGATCAGTGGAGCACTGAGCCCATCTGTAACACCCAAAATGTCTTTGCTTCCGGCCGATGACCTCTTCCGAAAGAGTGGTTCATCCCTCTTGCGCCTCTGGGGAAGGGGCCATACGCTGGACGTGCTGTTCTGCTGGGATGAAATTCTAGGTCCGAGATGGGGGGGCAGACCAGGTTCTCTGCCCCTTCCCGTGCCAGTGGTGTGGCCGTCGAGGTGAATGTTACCAGGCTCCGTGAGGTCGGGATATGAACTCAAAGCAATGACACTCTAAATTAACTGCGTGGTGACATAATCTATATTAATTGAACATGATTGATTCTTATTCAGAACAAATGGGCATCTTGGCATGGCCATATTGATATGTCAAAAGGGCTTCGTTATAGTACCTCATTGTCAATAGATAAAGTTGGCTGAATTGGGTCAGCAGGTACTACCTCCAACTGTCCTTTGTTATGACATCACAGAGTCTGAAGTAGACAATAACAGGTGGATTTCAGGGGATGCTCATTCCCCTCGCCCCCTGCTGGGCTACCTCTTGCTTACAAGAACAGCTTCAGGACTGTCCTCTGCTGCTGAGGCATTCTGACGGGAGCGGGGGGCCACCTGAGCACCAGTCAGGAGGAGGAAGGCGTTTCTTTGGCCATCCCCACTGCTGGGGTAGGGAGAGACGGCACAGAAAGGTTCATGCATGCTTCTTGCCCATTCCTGTGGATTCTCCTACTTCTCCCAAGATGAAAGAGGAAAAAGCAGATTTTACTGGACTCTCAGGGAATTCCCAGGCAAAAAGTCATGGAGGTAGAAATGGGCAGGACTACATGAGGAATGAGGTGAATTTTAAGTAAGGGGAGTGGTGCATGACAAGGAAGGCTAGATTCAGTAGGAGTGGGGCAGGGCACCCCCCTTAGAGCAGTCTGGCCATATCTGGGCAGAGTCACGCCATCCCGCGGCTTCCCAATGGGCAGAGGCGAGAGGAAACCAGTGTTTTCGGATTAACCCAAGTCCCAGGTCCTTGGGGGACCTGGTTCATGGCCATGGAGCCCAGGTGCTCCTGGAAAGCAGGCAAGGTGATACTCTCCACAGCTCAAAGGTAATCATCTTCAAACAACCAACACTCAACAGAGAAATAAAGGCCCTCCAAGAAATTCTGATGGCTATGAATAACACAACAAATCACTAGCTTTTGGTCATTCACTCCATGAGCGCCCGTGACTTCTCATTCCGAGCGAGACCACACACGGGCGATAGCGGATCTCAGGGTGATGAGGCCCCATCACAGCTCTGCAGGGAAGGCCAGCTTCCTGGGGCTGGTGTGACCAACATGGAACCTGAGCTAGTGTCTCAGAGTCAGGAGGGAGGGGCCGATCGTGCTAGGAAGGGTCCTGAAAAGTGAGGTGCTGTTGCCAAACACACAAGGAAAGAAGCCACACCAGGAAGGCCACACGTCCCACCCAAAGAACCTGGCCCACGGAGGCAGTGATGAGAAGCCACACTGCAGCACAGGGTCCTACTGAAAACTAGTAGGAATCTCGGAGATGTGTTGGCGTCCTCTAGAATTCCAGACAACTAGGACCACTTGGAGGCTTCTGGTAAGTAAAAAGGAGTTCCTTGATAGAATTTAACTTTTAGAACTATCACCTAGCAGCAAGCTGGGCAATGAACTGCGGTGATTAGGGGCAGGGAGATGACTGTAGCCGTGACTACCCAGCACCTGGGTGAACGTAGTGTGGTCACTTCTCTGCTTCATTTACATTTATTCTTATCTTCTCGCAGCTTGCCCAAAAGGAATCCAGTCGGGCATCATGTTCACAACGTGAAGAGTGAAACTTGGGGCACCGGACAAGTGTCCGAGCGCGTGGCCTGGCGCTGTTTTCCAAAGGTCTGGTAGCTTCTCCATTCTCCCCCAGTTTGGCTCATGGGGCTACGGAACGCTTCTCACATATGTCGAAAGTGTGGTTTTGGGGCTCCCGGGTGGCTCAGTTGGTTACGCATCTGACTCTTGGTTTCGACTCAGGTCATGATCTCACAGTTCATGAGATCAAGCCCCACGTCAGGCTCTGCACTGACAGCTCACAGCCTGCTTGGGATCCTCTCTCTCTCTCTCTCTCTCTCTCTCTCTCTCTCTCTCTCTGCTCCTCCCCTGCTCACTCACACTCCCTCTCTCTCTCAAAATAAATGAATAAACTTTTTTAAAATGAAAGAAAGGTGATGCTGGAAGTTATTTATCCTGAGGATGCTAACGTTACAGCCATATTTGTGGAGAAAGGGTAGTTGTTTTAACAAATGGTGTTGAAACCTCAGATATCCACACCCACCCACACCCACACCCACACCCACACCCACACCCACACACAGAAATTTAATCCATACTACATACGATATACAAAAACCATCTGAAAATAGACGGTAAGGTCTAAACATAAAACCTAAACTTATAAGACTTCTAGAAGAAAGGTAGGAGAAAATCTTTGTGACCTTATATTAGACACGTTGCCAAAAGCAAGATCCCTAACAGGGCCAACTGGTAAATGGGATATCATCAGGAGGAGAAACTTCTGTCAAAAGGGAATGAAAAGAAAAGCTACCATTTGGGAGAAAATATTGGCCAGTCATATATTAGTCAAAGGACTTGTATCCAGAATATATAAAGAACTCTCAGAATTCAACAATAAGAAAACAAAGCAAACCCTCAGTAATAAAATGGACTAGAGATCTGAACAGACACTCCTCCAAGGCAGATACACAGATGACAAATCCATGCAAAGATACGGAACAACATACCTCACTCGGGAAGTGGAAACAAAGCCATAATTTAGTAGCAGTACACGTCTACTAAGAGGACGAAGGAAAGATGCCTGATCATGAAAGAATGCACACTCACGGACTCCTTGTGTATACAGTTCTAGGAAATGCACCCTAGACCATGGTGGCTTAAAGCAGATCTCTGGTTTCCGCAGGAGGGCTCCAGAGTGAGCGACACGAGGAAACTTTTTGGGACCACGATGTGCTCCCTATCTCCCTATCTTGGTTGTGGGGTTGGTTTCTGGATGTATACATCTGCCAAAGCGTATCAAATTGCACACTTTAAATATGGGTGGTCTGGGGCCCCTGGGTGGCTGATCTCAGGGCTTGTGAATTTGAGCTCTGCAGCGGGGTCTCTGCTCTCAGGTCTCTGCTTGGGATCCTCTGTCTCCCTGGCTCTCTGCCCCTCCCCCACTCACACTCTCTCCCTCTCTCAAAAACAAATAATTAAAAAAAATCAATAAGGGTAGTTTGCTGTATTGTATGTATCTGTCAATAACGCTGTTCAAAGAGATAATTAGAATTCTATACGTATGACCCATATCTTTGAATCTTGAGTTTTCTGATCATCTCCTCTTTTATTTCACCCTCCGCTTGTACTGTACTGACACCCTCATTTCCACATCTCTTCGCCTCGTACCTACAACTATACACAAGTTGCCTTTATCAGGAGAAAACGATATACTGGTTTTTTTTCCAACAACCCCAGCACTAGCAGCCCCTGGCCATGGGATGGATTTCTAAGTTCCACAATGACAAACATTTAAGAAAAAATATCCAATCTCATCAAGGTGAGCAGTATCTTGGGACTACAGGCAGTTTTTCTCTGGGATGAAGCAGCTTCCCTGGGGGGTAATCCTCTTCCTCAGACTCGATCAGAGCTAACTCAAATTGGGCTCGGTCTTCCTTCAGAAAAGAAGCTGCTACTTTACATGTAGGTACATCCATTGCAGTTGGGAGGCAGGAAGACTTCAGCTTTACGCTTCTCTTTGGCCCTCGAGGACAATCTATACTGCCGAGGTGCTCACACACATAGCAGGTGCAACCTGGGATGCTGTATCTGTCCTACTCTGTCGAGCAGGCAGAAATACCTCATGTCGCTTTCCTCCAATTTTCGTATTCTTGCTTGAACTTAACTTGTTAGTCTGGTGACACATCTCTCTCTCTCTCTTCCTCTGCAGATCCTGGTTTCTCCAGTCGTGGAGGATTTCTCCCCCACGGGGACTGTCTTGCACATGATGGGAGACAGCAATTGTGTGTGACCAGCAGTGAGAACACAGGGTTTAAGACCTCCCAGACTCGGGTCGCAACCCTGCATTTCGAACTTGTTTGCCCTCTTGCCAACACGGAACACGCTGCCTCTGTTCCGGCCACACTGCTCCAAGGCTTACACTTTCTTGTCTGTGCCCCTACATGCACGTGTTTTCTCATATCCCCTCAAACAAATTTCTGTTTATTAAAATGTTACCCACTACTTAAGCCTTCAATCAAAACGTAGCCCCTCTATTTCAATTTTACTCCAACAAATATCCAACCCTTGCTTCTCCATGAAGACGATAAGAGGGCAAAATATCAAACAAATATATAGACACTGGGATGTAACATGGACATCTACTTTATGAACATATGGATGCTGTTTTTTCCCGGTTCTTCCATTGCCCCCCAAGATTTCCAGCACATGTCTCCGCACACACAGGTAATGCTCAGTATGAGACTCTGAAGAGAGTCTGAAAGTATAATGTATGCTTAATTTATAGCAAAATCATTCCAACATCTTCAATCTGGTATTGAAATTTGCAAGTAAATGGCCATGCTCACGGACTCCCGCAACCCATCTGCATACTGTTAGCCCCTCCACAGCAACACAAAGCAAAAATGCCTAAGAACCTCCAGTTTGCTTACCTAAGTATACGTATTTACAGGAATAATTATCTCCAAGAGTTCATATTTACTGAGGACTCCGAACAGGAGATGCATGAACTTCTAGGTTTACCACTGGAAATAATTCCTGTGCCTCAGCTCAATAGCTCCCAACTTCCTTGCGCTCACGGATACACCTGGCCTCAGGCCATCCCAGGCACCCCCAAACCCTACCTCCAATTCTCCACCTCGGACACCTACCTCACTACCTGGAGTGCAATATCCTTGTCTGCATAAGACTCCACAAAATTTCATGTTTTGATGCCTTGAATCACACCATTTTATATGCTTGGTCCACACGGGGATTTTTTGAAAACTCATTTTTAAGCATCTAATTGAAGTTTCTCCTCTTTGCAGTCTTCCTCCAAGCCCCCTGCCTTCCAGAGAACATCAGGTGCCCTGTTTCGATGTTTCCAGGGCACTTTATCCCTCTCCCCATCTGGCACCTTGCACATGGTACTCTGATTACTTGTGCTAAATTCCTATGCTGAATACAAGCCCAGTCAGGGCCTTCTTCATATCTCTACCCAAATTTGTCCTGGAGGGCTTATACAGTGCCTGAAATGGTGCCAAGAAATGGTTGGGGAATTGATCTAAAAGTCTGCTGTAAGTCCTCTTTACCTTACTCTCGGCATTCCTACAGCTGAAGACAGGAGAAAGAGAATCAAGCATTAAGGGACAGAGATCTACCAGCATCTGTTCCCTAAAAGGCTTAGGTTAAGTACTTGCTTTTTTTTCCCCCTGCCTTCTTTCCCTAACTGATAAATTATAGAGCAGAAATATTCAGCTTCCTAAATCAAAGGGCTATCTTAAATTCAAAGGTGAATAACAAACAATGCATAGATCACACCTATATATAATGGCTAATAGCCAAACTACCTAACAATGTTAATATTCCTAAAGACAAAAAAAAAAAAAAATATTCCTAAAGAGGGCCAGGCGAGAACAAAAACAACCGGGGAAAGGAAACCTTTTTTGATGTTTTCAGATACTATGGTAACGTTAAGGTCAGCAATGAGGCTGAAGTAAACAGACTTGATTAATTCCCAAGTGATTCATATTCAATCATACATTTTAATGTATATAGTAAACTGGAGTTAAGCTAGCTTCATCCACCCATCCATCTACCCATCCACCCATTCATCCACCTGTCCTATCCATCCACCCACACACCCATCCATAAACCATCCATCCATCCATCAATTCACCTACCCACCCATCCATCCACCCACCCTCAATCCATCCATCCATCCATCCATCCATCCATCCATCCATCCATCCAACGGATATTTACTTAGCACACACACCTTTAGTCTACATGCTGTAGCTAAATATTAATTATGGGCTAGTGCCCACAGAAGAAGGAAAGAGAAACCAGCCTTTGTTACAAAGTGAAAGGCCTTTGCTTGCACATTACATTTGTGATTCATTTATTTCTCAGAAAATCTTACAGGATAAGTAATCTTGTCACTATTTTACAGATAAGGCAGATGAGATAGGGTGATTAAAGAGCCACTCAGGTTACCCTTAAGTCCATCTGCCTGAGAAAGAGGTTCTCTACATACTCGCTAGCATGGATAATTATCTACCTTTTCTTCATTAAGATGTCAATAACCGTGTTAAAACCGCAATGTTTTAAAAATCTTACAAGCATGTTTGTATTTCACATACTCACTTCTCCAATCAGTGCCTTGGCAGGCAACATTTGCAGAAAATGGCATCAACAATCAAAGCACAGAATCTGCACTTAGCAAATCACTCTAATAATGAAGCACCAACAGACTCCCCAGGTCACAAGTTTGTTCGCTGGGCTTCTCTACAGTCCTCTCAGTCGCTCTTTGGTTATCATTTGAGAATTTACATCTCCCATATGAATGTTTCCCCTTATAAAACATTCAGCACATTTTCTTTTAGAATCACTGGTAATAGAAACTTCCTCAGTTGCTACACGAACACAAGGTGATGCAGGCTTCTTCAAGATTTTGTTGGTGAGGACAGTTTGTAGGAAGACCATTCCATGAAAAACCTACTCGATGCTTTTTCTTTAAGAAGGAACAGCTCTTGCCAGCACGAGGTGAATTCATGTGCTTTTTTAGACCTTTGGGGAAAAAAAATCAACCCTATTTATCCTAGTTCCGTTCTTTTAGCCCATCAGAAAGGTCTATCCATCTGTTTAATCGATAGCAAACCCAAAGAATCTGTTCTGGTTCACTAGGGGTGGGGGAAAAAATCTTTAAAGAAAACCAACAGTGCAGCTTGAGTTCCTGAATGTATCTGCTGAAAAAAAATCACACGGTATGAACTAAATGCATATTTAAGCCCTTCCTACGCCGGCAGTAAATACAAGGCAGAAACTCGCCTGCTTATTCCAAGACTGACGTCTGACTTTCAAAAATACGTCCCAGCCCAGGAACCCCTCCCCTTTTGGGAAGAAAGAGCTGCTGTATGTTTCTTGGAAGTCCTGACATTACTGGATGAATGGACGGTGCTACTCTGAGCTCCTTTTACCTCCCCCGGGAACGACAGCCAGGGGCACCGGGGAAGGTGGGAAGAGGCATGACCCTCTAGCGAACCTGGAGACCTTCCCCGGGGCAATGCCAGCGTCCCACAGCTCTGTTCCATCACCCTGCGTTAGCCAATGTTAGTCACACCCTTGGTAGGTTAGTGAAAGCCCACTTTACATCGATTTTGCCGATTCTGGAAAGAGGAGGCCTTTTCCCTGCCCTCAATTCTTTATCCCTCAGTATGAGTCCGATGTGCATTTGAGCTTTAAGATCATAAAATATTTACTAACTTCCAGCTTTTAATGTTCGTGAAATAAAGAGCCAAATTAATAATTTTTGAGCGTTGGTTAAAAAGAAACTCAAGACTTTCTCCAAAGGGACAGCATTCAAGGCCAAATAAAGAGGTGTGGCCAGGTCCACCTGGCGTCAAAATGCCTGGCTGCCAAGTGTCACTGGCTATTTGAACCACAGACAAAAACATCACTGTTCACACGAACTATGATTTGTTTCTCTGTTTCCCTCCAAGAGCCAAAAGCAGTTGATCCGGTTTGTGCGGAAGGACACACAGGAAGATGGAAAGCCAGACCACAGAGAGAGACTCAAATACAAGGACAGCCTCACCGGGAGGACGGTGGCAGGTGGCTAGCTGGCTGATGTCACCCTATGGGATGACATCATTTGCTCTACCGTTGGGGGCATCTGAGATTCAGTATTTTCCTTCTTCGGAAAGCCCCCGTGCAACCAAGGGGCCACTCCTACCTTAGGGACCCACTAAGCAGAGACCCCAGGCTGGAGATGCAAACACCCTACCAAGTGCTGCACTCAGCCTCCCTCAACGCTGAGGGGTAATCCCACACATCACTAACGGAGCACCTACTACGTGCTGGTATGTTCACAGATGCTGTAGTATAGACATCATCAAGTTTCATCTGCGCCCCCAAACACTATAAGGCAGTATGGGCAGCTTCACCTTCCGGAGGAGGAAAGGTGGGTCTCAGATAGGCTGAGACCAGCCCAACACTATACAGATAGGTGGCGGAAGAATCCAAATTCAAATTCTGATCTGTCTGCAATGCAAGGCCTTTTCTACTGAACTAGGGTAATCAAGGCTGGTCCCTCGATTATCCCTCGCACAGAAGGAAGTGCCATCCTGTCTGCCATCCTGCCTCTTGGCATCAACAGCTTTACGATGACCGTTCCTACTTCCCAAGAACCTGGAGAAAACAGGGAGAATCACAGGGCATTCGGAGGAGACCTACGGAAATCCAGTCTAGCCTCATCACATCATAGAGAAGAGACAAAGGTTCACGGAAAGGAAAGGACTTGCCCGAGTTCACGCAACTCCAGAGAGGCAAGGCGGCCACAAGAACCCAAATACCCAGGGCATTTGCTCTCCAGTCTACACTGCTGAAATCTACGCTGAGGGTTTGATATTGAGGCAAACCTGGAACGGAGAGATGTGGGATCACAAAATGAAGGCTGCCTCGAACGGTTCAGAAAAAGAATCAGGGGCGCCTGGGTGGCGCAGTCGGTTAAGCGTCCGACTTCAGCCAGGTCACGATCTCGCGGTCCGTGAGTTCGAGCCCCGCGTCGGGCTCTGGGCTGATGGCTCGGAGCCTGGAGCCTGTTTCCGATTCTGTGTCTCCCTCTCTCTCTGCCCCTCCCCCGTTCATGCTCTGTCTCTCTCTGTCCCAAAAATAAATAAAAAACGTTGAAAAAAAAAATTAAAAAAAAAAAAAAAAGAATCAAAGGTTAGTGAGGGTTTTAATTTGGTTCTCAACTTGTGTCATTACTTATGAAATAACCCACCGCATTTTGTTCTTTTTTGGAGATGTATAAATGTAGCTTTGCATATCTAAATGCAGACATGTGTGATGAGCATCAGTATAGACACCCTGTGCTATCAGAGTACCTGCGGGAATAGGTCTGGAGGTGTGTGTGCTGCTCAGACATCTTTGTGCCCCAAAGAAACACGGAAAGCATAATGAAATATTCACCCACAAAAAAACCACCAGTAAGTGGGGGAAATGATAAAGCGGCAGGGTCCTGCT